ATAAACATGGTTTATCTGTTGAATGTGTCAGAGACAAGATGCTATGCTCTTGCATACTGTATACGAATGTACACAAAAGTACAGTTCCATTTCTTATGTTGTATTGTTTAACTCCCTCACTGTAGGAACTCCAAATACCAAGAGCAACATCAAAAGCAAAACCTTGTCAGACATATTGGTTCGTGCAGATAAGGACACGAAGAATTGAGGTAAAGAACCAAGTTCGCTTGATACTTTATTCTGCTATTCTTGTCTAACTAGCATATGGCCCGTGCATTGCAACAAAATTTTAATTAAAGAAAATTATCATTAACCCGTTATTACCATCATTTTCTACATATATAATCTTTTAATTGCTGCATATATTTGCTACGGATATGTGGACCCTTTGGCCCCACATTATCCTTTTTCTTTCCAAAAAGTAGAGAGTTGGTGGGGGTGGTTGACATGTGGACCCTCTAGCCCCACCTCTCCTTTTTCTTCTCCAGAAAAGGTAGGAGTTGGTGGTGGGGGTGGTGGCAGAATCACCACCATGACAACTCTCTTTTAAAGGAGTACTACACTCTTTTAAAGGAGTATAGACAACCCGTTATTACTAACATTCTTTGCACATATCATCTCTTAGTTGCCACATATATTTTGTTACTGATATATGGACCCTTTGACCCTACATTGTCATTTTTCTTTCCAAAATGTAGAGAGTTGGTGGGGGTGGTTGACATGTGAGCCCTCTAGCCTCACCTGTTCTTTTTCCTCTCAAAAAAGGTTGGGAGTTTGATGGGGGTGGTGGCAGAACCACCACCACTATTCCCTTTTAACAAAGTATAGATGATATATTTGATCCTTTCCTATGTTAAGGAAACATGAGTCCTGACTAGTTACTTTTGCTGACCATTACTGTGGTGCACTTTAAATTAAATTCACCTCACCATAAAACAGTACACAAATAACTATGGCTACTATGTCATACTATAGACCTTGGAGCTGTACAGGTTGTAGCTGTGGTTTTATCTGCCAGTTATCACTGAATACAAACTTCAAACAGTAAATTATGAGTCGGTAGTCTAGGAATCTAGGATGCAAGCCTAAATAAAGTCGGTAGTCTTGTTGTCATTATGAGCTACTAAGTAAATTGCTTCCTGTTTCTTGTCAAGTGATCATATTGTAAGTTTTTCTACCCTGTGGAAATGGTTTGTGGAATATATATCTGGTACTTTCTCTAGTTATCCTTTTTTGAACCACCAACTATTTCATTCTTTATTGTGTTAAGGAAATTGCATTTATGGCTGGCTACTTTCTCTGCCTATATGTCCCTGTTGTCATTTGAGACAGGCTTGTTTACAAAATGACTACTACTTACTCACTCCATCCCATAAAAAACCAACCTAATACCGGATGTGCGGTCCTAGATTCGTTTTTTATGGGACGGAGGGAGTAGGTTTCAAACAGTAAAATATTCCTATCTACAGTGCTCTTGTAGTTGCAGTTTAGATTCACTATGCAGGAGTATGCTAAAAAATATTGATATTGCATTTTACTCAAGACCTTCTATTAGCTGTACATACTTGTTACAGTATGATTTAAACTACCTCGTATGACTTGATGGGAGTATTTCCCATCCTTGTGAGACATAAGGACGTATTTTATCTTTGTGTAATAAGTAGTTATTTTTTGTTGCAACGAGAGATATAAATACCCCTATATACATCATAAAATCATCCTTCTTGTGATAGATGACTATAATTTCTTCGTATACATCTCAACCTTCGTATTTTTTTTCTCATGATAGGGAGGTACACAAGCTTCAAATTCGTCCTGTAAACCTAAATGAAACCTTTAGTTTTGTTGGCATCTTGAGTTACTGTCTACAATGATTAATGTTTCTTTATCAAGCTATCCTGCCTTAAGGTTTTGATGCAACAAAAAAATGCACATGGAAAATAAACATGCAATTATACTTTTCTCTATATGAAACTGCAAAGAGGTATATGGGAGTACACTATTATTTCTGTTAATACGTGTTTTTATAGTAGCAAGAAGAAATGGTTAATTTCTCATGTCACTCCCTTGTTATGATCAATAAGATGTATCTAACGTTTAACTTGTTATCTCCAGATTTCTGAAATTTAACAGGTGAAAGTGAAAGCCATTATGATAGATTAGGAAGTCTTTTGTTGAAGTTGTTCTGAACTTCTGATAGATTAGGAAGCTTTTCTTTCTTACGAAGTGATGCACTACGATGCAATTAGTGCTACATAAACTTCCTTTTTTTTTTTTGGAAATGTTGGCTGACAGCTGAATTTCGAGTTTCACTTATGCATGCGAACTTAAAATTAGCTGAGCAAAGGTTCCCTAAGTGAGTTTGCTTTGAACTGTAGGTTCATGTTGGCAGCAGATTACGAGTCTTCGTTTTTGGACGTAGGGAAAACATTGTGTATGTCATCTTAGATACTCGTTTTCTAGCAACTCTTTGATTTGATGTTGATCTGCTGGAAGATGAGCAACTATTTGATGTTAATCTGTTGGAAGATTGGCAGCTTTGTGTGTTAACACAATCGATGACTGGCAGTCTGATTACTGATGGTAGTAAATTGGTAACTTGCTGAAGTTTTTGAGACATTTGGTTGTCTGATTCATGCAATTCGAATGTGATGTTTGGAAATTTTTTTTGCCATTTTTATTGCATTCTTTGTCCTTCGGCATGCTCAATTGAAGCGAATATCGCATTGTTTATTTATTTTGTTTCTACCATTAGACTTCTGTAGCCCCCAAAATATTAGTCATCGTTAACCCTGCTTGCCAGAAAAATAAACAGTCTGCTTTTTACAACGCGAGATCGTGCTTAGTATAATTTGGTTTAAGTTGGAAATGCATCAATGTTGGATGCACTGCCAATCTATTGATGCATGCTGAACTTAACTGCCAATCTGCTGATGGTAAGTAAACAGTCTGCTTTTACTGTAAGTCTGTAACCAAGGTTGGTAGTACCTGCGTATACTAAGATATTACTCTCTACATATTTCCTCCGTCCAAAAAAAAAAGCTAAACCTAGGAGCTAAACCTAGGGGTCCTAGGTTGGCTCTGTCCAAAAAAAAGTCAACCTAGGATTAGGAGGTTGGCTACCCTAATCCTAGGTTGGCTTTTTTTTTTTGACAGGAGTATATAAAAAGAAACTTCAATGAAGGAATCTGGAAGCATTTGACCCGTTCATTTTCATAAGTTGGAAGCATTTGACCCGTTCATTTTCATAAGTTGATTTTTTATGAGACGAATATATTCTCAAACGTTGATTTTTCACTACTATTGAAATGATCATTGCGTGCGGGCGGTAACTCACACCCCACGGAAAAATCAGCTCATTTTCGCATGTGATCCATTTAAGAGGACTGCATGGGAAAATCGATTTTTCCGTGCGGTCCTCTTAAATAGGCTGCACGTGAAAATGAGCCAAATTTCCCGTGCAATATATTAAGAGAACCGCAGGGGAAAATAGTTTCCCTCCTACCCACTTCAAAAAATTCCCTTTTTCTCTCCTTTCCCCTATCCGTGCGCGCCTAAGTCCCCCCCTCTCTCTCTCTTTTATTTATCCGGCCGATCTGACTCTCTCTATCCTCCCTCTCTCTCTCTCACTCCTCTCTCCTCGATCTCCTCCTGGCGACGGGCGTAGGCGGTGGCGACAGCGGTGGCGGCGGACGGTGGCGCGTGGCCCCTCCCCTTGCAGATCCGGCGGAGGGGAGGCATGGGGGAGGGGGTGGCGGCGACGACAACGACGGCAGCCCGCGGCTCCTCCCCTCCCTTCCCCGGCGGCGATGGGAGCGGGCGGCGGATCCGTCGCCAGCGCTTGCAGCGGCGACAGCGGCGGACCTCAGCTAGGGTGGCGGTGGCGGCGGCTGGATTAGGGTTAGGCTTTGGTTTTTTTTTCGATTTTTCATTTTCCCGTGCGGGTGGCTTAAGCGCCTGCACGCGCGGGTGCGTCGCCTGCACGAAAAAGTCGCGATTTTCGCAGATACTTCCTTCCAGACGGTCAAATTCTCTACACGCGAAAATTGAATTCATCCATACGGGAAAATCCTTAATGTAGTAGTGTTTTCATGAGACGAATGCAAAAGTTGCTCTGAACTCTCTTTTGAGCAAAACACACCGACGTGGGGAGGGGGGGGGGGCTTTGTTCGATCTGGCTGAACGGGTGGGATTTTTTGGAATGCAAAATTATTAGCACATGATTAATTAATTGTTAACTATAATTTGATTTTTTATAAAAAGATATAAAAAGCTTTTTATAAAAAATACATCGTGGTTATGAAAAACGAGATACGTTGTACTCCCTTCAGGCTTCATCCCACGAAGATTTCATTTTCCAGTTTTTGAATATACTCTTCGTCTTATTTAAAATTTTTCTATGATTAATATTTTTGTTGTTATTACATGATAAAACAAGAATAGTACTTTTATGCGTGACTAATTTTTTTATAAAATTTTTAAATAAGATAAACAACCAAATGTTGGCGTTGGACGCAGACAAAAAAAAAGTCTTCGTTAGACGGAGAGAGTAGTACACAAATCAAAAGGCTAATTCTAACTGAAGAATTATCTTCATATTGTTACGTTGGACCTTGAGGATCACAGCCCATTGGGCCAACACCGTCTGTGGCTCCCAGGCCGACACAACCTGAGCATTTTGGCGGGAAACCGTTGCCATGCTTTTTGTAGGCCAGCTGTCAACGGATCGTTCAAAAAGGATGAACAAGTACAGAGGCAGGAGCAGATGGATAGAGACAGGTAACGTCACCAAGTAGAACAACGCAAAATGCTGCACCGAGTCTATGCGCACCGGGCCACACCGTTGCGAAACCCTCTCGGCTCCAAATGCCCTGGCTCACGGTGGACCGAGCCCACGGCCGGACGTCACGGCTCCCTGCCCCTCTGCTGCTCGTGTCAGAGCTCCACTTCTTTCCATGGACCTCACCCACCGTGAACAACCGACCCCGCCGCCTCGCCTTCTCCGGTAGGGTAGGGTAGGCTAGGCTAGGCTACGCTCGCCACGATACGCGCGCCGCCTCCGCCCAAAGATGCAGCGCCTCCCGCTCCGGCGCGCCCTGTCCGCCGCCGCGTCCGCGCCCGTACGCCGCGCCCTCTCCACGGCGTCGCGGCGCCCTCCGTGGGCGATGGTGGAGAAGTACGTGGCGGTCGGATCTCCCGAGCGGCGCGTATCCCTCCGGCTCGCGGAGCCCCCGTGCGGCTCCAGGCTCATCGCCCCCGCCCACCTCGTCGGCTACGCGCCGCGCGTGCCCGACCCCGACACGGACGAGCTGAACGCCTTCTTCGCCGGCTTCGTCAAGGCCGCGAGCGGCGACGGCCTCCTCCTCCTCACCTTCATGGAAGTCACCGGCACGGCCCCCCTCGTCCCCGGCGGCGGTGGGTGGCGCGCGCTGACTGGCATCAGCATCGACCCCGACATGACGCGGTTCGTGTGCAACCCCATCTCCGGCGAGCTGTTCGGCCTCCCGGACATCGACGGCACCAAGAAGACCGCGTGGTTCTCCGACATCGGCATCCTCACCCAATCCGAACGCCCGCACGGGCCGCCGGACAGGTATGCCGTCGCTTTGTTCAGGGAGGACTCGGTGGGCTACCGCGGCGGGGACGAACGGTTCGCCATGCGCCGGTTTCTCTCACAAACGGGCAAGTGGGACAAGCTGGTGGGCTTGCCGTCCTCGCTCCCGCTCCACCGGCGTCGCATGAACACATCCACGCAGGAGGTGGTGGCCTTCGCCGGCCGGCTGTGGTGGGTCGACCTGAGCTGGGGCGCCCTCTCCGCCGACCCTTTCAGCGATCGCCCGGAGCTCCGCTTCGTCGAGCTGCCGAGAGGCAGCGTGACACAGCCCATGGAGAAGGAGCGCCGGGAGCTGCGCAGGTTCCGCCGCGTCGGCGTCAGCGAGGGGAGGCTGCGCTACGCCGAGGTGTCCCAGGAGGAGCCATACGTGCTCAGTTCGTTCGCCCTCGACGACGACGGCGGCGGGTGGACGCTGGAGCACCGCGTGGCTCTTAGCCGGCTCTGGCCGCATGACCAAAACCTCTGCAAGAACACGCCGCAGATCGCAGCCATTGACCCACTGAACGCTGGCTGCATGCACCTCGTAGTTGGCAGGCAGGTTGTCTCCATAGACATGGACAATGGGGATTTGCTTGGGTGCACGCTGGGAGGTGGAAGTGATCCATCCGTGGATACACTTACACCATGTTTGCTCCCTCCGTGGCTTGCATCGTGCCGGATCCCCCGTGCAGGTGATCATCTTTCATGTGATTTCTCCCGTGTACATGCATGCTTGACACACCAGATTTGCTTATTAAGTGTTAATTAGATAGATCCAGGACTTTGTTCGTTTTACATCTCTGTTGAAACTTGAAACGGTATAATGTTAGTGGGAGGCTTAGCTTGTGCATAGTGGTACTGGTAGTATCATTTGTTTTGTCACTTCAATATGCAATGTTGGAAACGTGTATCTACTTACATTATTGTTTTCTCTTGTAAAATTTTGAAAATCCTTCTGTTTGTGATTGAAGAAACTCTTTCAAGGAACAAGGCGGATGCGAAAAGCAAGAGTTTATCAGACATGTTGGTTCGTGTAGATAGGAAGAAGATGACTTGAGACCAAACAGCAAATGGGTCAGCAGGTACTTCATTAAGCTAACTATTATTCAATCAGTCGTCTTGTTAATTCTTTTCACCATACATGGATGCCGTTCGATTACCACTTTTCACTGCTTGTATTCCTTATTTTCTTGAAGTGTGTGCTCCGAATCATGAAAGGCCATTTTATAAGATAAGATGGATATTTTAGTTGAATTAGCATAACATTTGAGCAAATATTGCTTTTTCTTCCGTCTTGTGGTAGCACTTTAGACGAAGGGGCAGATCCAGCACACATTCATCACTGTCATTTGACACCGGTTACTCTTTGCCAATCACTGTATAAGTCCTCTTTAGATTAAGAAATTTCTCTTATAATCTGCAATGGCACGATTATTTTTTAAAGAAATTTGATTAGTGACCTAGATGATATTTTCTCCTGGATCCATCCCTAATACAAGGTGCATCCTAGGGTAAAGTACACTAAAAATTATCAGTCATGTTTTACTCTTCAGTATTGACTTTGCATAAAAAAGCAGATTATAGCTGTTGTTTAAACAGCATTGCATAAAGCAAACTCCAAATTTGGCCAATAAAATATGAAGTAGGTAACCAAGTCACTAAGTATAAAAGCCTTAAAGGTGTTTGGTCTTGTCATCATTATAAGTATCTATTTTCATAAGAGTTAATTATAGTTTGTTGCATTGTGTATAATATTATGAGCAACCACTTAAAAGCTTCATGTAATATTTTTGCTGGGATAAAAAAAATTGATGGAAGGTAAGCAGTAGATGTGATTAAGTGCAAACTAGAAACTTTTGCCTATAAAACATAATAGTATTGTGTAAGAGCTGAAAGGATTCCCTGCATTGTAATCATGCTGAGTCACTGTCATTCTTTGGTCCTAAAATATTATCTCTTATCAAGCCTAAGAGTCTAAGATGATGAAGCTTGCTACTACGATTTGATAGTAAAAATCATAATTAGGTATTCTGCTGAATAAAGACATGAATATAAAATAAAATTGTTGTGTAATATAGTACTGAATCAGGACTTGAATAAAAGATAACATGCTCTCTTTTCAATTTCTTAAGTAGAAATGGCTAGATGGACTATCATAGTTTTCCATTTACTTGTTTATGTTTTCATTTTTTTTATACCGCTCATTCTATTCAAACATATCCTAATGTTTCCTGTTTGATTCAGATTTCTTAAAAACCAACTGAAGAGGTGTTTTAACGAATGAGGAAGCTGATGGATGGTAGTTGTAGAAGTCCCGTTTCGGAAACCCAATGGAAGTTCCAAGTGTTTTGACCTCACAGTTTATCTACATATTTTTGGAGAAACAGGAACCCTTTTTTTTTTCCTTTTTTTGGGTGGAGGCTTTGCTTGTGAGCATATTGAGAACATTGCAGTAGAGTGACTCAATTCAGCCAGCATGTCATGACCATCACATAAGAATATACATGCTGTGTTTGTTGCTGGACAATATGGTCATCTTTGCACTTGAAAAATAGATCGATGGATGTTAATGTAACTTTCCAGGATTCTTGTTTAGGCATCTTCTGTGCTTGCTTATTCATATCGGATACCTGTCATCACATTGTTTCAGCTGGTAAAAAATTCAATACTAAATCTCGGGTTGTATCTTCATGCTTGGTTATACGTGTGCATCAGCACCTAAGTGCCAATCTATTGTTACTGGTAGGCAAGATATGTAAAATATCTCTCTGTTACTTATTTGAGGCAGAAGAGCAGGGAATCATTCGAATATATCGCAGTGATTTCATGATTTATACGCAGAAAACAGTGTTTTGCTTTCATTTGATAGAACCATTGCACTACTATGAAGTACAACGAATCCAGACATGGTTATGAAGTGTTTTATCTGGTACTAGGTTGCTTTATAGGACGGAGGGAGTAGCAGCTAGCATGGCAAACATGATGGTCAATCTCTGAACTTTCAATGCCATTTGCTTCACCCCGCTTTAAGACAAAAACCACCTTGGTTTCACATTTTCACTTGTACGTTACGCCGCGTGGTTTTATCAAGCTTTGGTGAAGGGACCTAATGATTTATGTATTCAGCATATTTCAGTGCATATATAAAAAAGTTTCTCACTGTTCTTATAATAAATTTTCCTCCCTAAGATAAATAAGAAGGATGTAAAGAGAGGAGGCTGCTTATTATTCAGCGGTGGACAAAATGACGATGAAGATAAAAGGCATAAACATTTTTACATAAAAGAGAACACAGAACACAAGTACACAACAATAACATAGAGCGAATATTTCTTAAAAAAAAACATAGGACGAATATTTTACATGGAGTCGATATATATGTACATGATACTTATATTTGTATAGCATTAGCATTAAACAGTGTCAATAACGTATAGGGATATAATGTTTGCCTCATTAGTTATGATGGATTAGGGCCTGTTTAGATCCTCTGGCAAATTTTTTCACCCTATCACATCGAACGTTTGAACACATGTATAGAATATTAAATGTAGAGAAAAAAAAAACTAATTACACAGTTTGCGTGTAAATTGCGAGACGAATTTTTTAAGCCTAATTAGTCCATGATTTGATAATATGGTGCTACAGTAAACATTTGCTAATGATGGATTAATTAAGCTTAATAAATTCATTTCGTAGTTTATAGGCAGAATCTGTAATTTGTTTTGTTATTAGTCTACGTTTAATACTTCAATTTAGTGTCCGTATATCTGATGTAACACGCTAAAACTTTTCACCCCCGGATCTAAATACAGCCTTAATCTATTTGACCATATGGTAAAAAAAAAAAGGCTACATGCAAGCTAGCATTGTGGACACAGTACTTTGATGGTTAAGCCACGTTTGGATTTCCTAGCCCATTTGACATACACCATTGTTTAACCTACAAAATGGAAATCCATGCGATTCACTATTTGAGATGTATAGTTGGGTTATCTTAATGAAAGATAACCTCACAAAGAGAGAATGGAGGGAAAACAAGCAATCTAATCTGTTTTTTTTTTAAATATACAAAAGACCATCCAATATCTTTTCTCTTACTGTCATGTTGCACGTTTTTCTTGATGATATGTCTTCTTTGACATTAATATTCCCTTTTCCAAAATGTAAAAGATATTTTTGGTAACTGGCTAAGGGGAGTGCCTAGACTAAAAAATGATTTTATTTGGAGTTAGTGCTCTATGTTGGTCAATCTGTCGTTGCCGTAATGTTGTAATTTTTAACCATAAAAAAATGTCTAGCATCATGCATGTTATCTTCATGTGTTCCAACTGGCTTCACTCTTGGTGTATGATACTTTCACAAGAACAACAAGATAAGATACTATGTACAATGATGCTACACGTTTGGAATTTATAGCCAAGGAACTTTTATTACAGTTTAGATGGTGTAGTACCTACAGAATTTTGTCATACAATCTATTTGATTTTGGAAACATTATTTTATTAGATCATCTTATTGGCAGAAGTTGGGGGTTTATCCTATCATGTATTTTTTTTAATTTCTTTTATGTTTACTTCTGAGACTTTTTTGCTGTATGCCCACGAGCAGAGACCGGAGATGTAATCCATTTCCAATCTAAAAAAAGACATTGTTTAGTAATAACCTGTTGGTGCATTCAAAATACTTATATGTATAATGTAGGAGCATGAATAATACTTGCCTAGTCACTCCGTCCTAAAATAAATCAATCTAATATAAGATGTAATGCTACCTACTATAATGAATATACATCTGTTTAGTCACCTATCCCGATTCATTGTCATAGATAATATCAAATCTCATGTTAGATCCATTTATTATTGGACAGAAGTTGTGTGTGGGATGGGAAGGATGATTGATCACGCTTGTACTGCATGAGAGCAAACAATTTTAAAGGAATTTAAGGAACTTTGTTCCAAAGTACCACCCGTTCTTTCCTATCTAAGATACAAATTCTACCTCGATTTTTATTAGCATGTTTTTCAAACCAGTGAATGATGTGTTTCATCCGATAAATTTTCTATATAAAAGTTGCTTTAAAATATTAGATACTATATAGAAGTTGCTTTAAAATATTAAATAAATCCAAATTTCTAATTTGTAATAATTAATACTTAATCAATCATGTGCTAATGGCTTTCTTGATTTGTGCCCTAGCTTCACCTTCACCTTTATTAGAAACGAACACCACCATATGTTACAAATTCTTTTACAAAATATATCTCTATTTTTTAACTTATCTATATGAAACTAGGTGTCACAACGCAAGGTTGTCTATCTGTAAAAATACGGCTTCTAAAGGCTCGTTCGAAACTCCAAAATGAAGGAGAATATTAGTGGCACATATATAATGGGATAACTCATTAGCACATAATTAATTAAGTATTAGCTATTATAAATTTTAAAAATATATTTATTTGATTTTAAGAAAAACTTCTACATAGAATTTTTCACTCCATGTACCATTTAACATTTAACGGTTCGAGAAGTGTGCTTACGAAAACTGTGAATTAAAGAAGTTTAGAACTAGGCATCAGGTTGTTTTTTTGAATGGGTTAGGAACCATTCCCCGTCGACACATAAAATGGAGTTGCTAATTAACACATGAATAATTACTCTCTCTCTTCCAAAACATTAGATATTAGAACCGGATGAGACAAATCATAGTACTATGAATCTGAATAGATTGGTAGTATTATGATGTATCACATCTAGTCCTAATATCTTATTCCCTCCGTCCGAAAATATAAACATTTTTAGAATAGGGATAAGTCAAACATTTTTAACTTTGACTATTAATAGCAAAAAAATAAAAAAGATTAATCACGTAAAATTGATGTTACTAGATTTATCATTAAACAAACTATCATAATATGCAACTCTTTTTATTTAAAACATTTTATTTTTATAGATATTGTTGGTCAAAGTAGCATCTCGAAAATCATGTCGGAGTACGAAGGGAGTATATATTTGGATGGAGGGAGTGCGCTTATGACGGAGCTCGTGGCTCCTCACCGGGAGACCGCGCAGGCCCCCCTTTGCCGGTTCGGCCGGGGGCTTAGGGTGAGATCTCAAGCTCTCTCTCTCTCTGTATCTGGAAAGATCACCCGCCCGCAAGACACACGAGACACAGTGATGTATACAGGTTCGGGCCGCTGCGAAGCGTAATACCCTACTCCTGTGTTTTTGTGGATTTGTGTATGGACGAGTCACAAAGGATTAACTCCCTTTCCCCTCAGCCTTCCAAAAGGGAAAAAAGTCCCGTCCCCCTCTAAATGGGCAAGGTCCTCCTTTTATATCTCAAGGGGATACCACATGCACCTTTCTCTTTCCAAACTGGACTGTTCTTTTTCTCTTTAATGGGCGGAGATCGGTACGGTTTCCATCCGGGAGCCCTTCTGATGGGACAGCCCACACCTACCCCCACCTCCCCCGAAGACAGAGATGACGCGGGACCGTGGCTGTCTGTCGATGACGCGACCAGTGCCAGACCGGTCATTCTTGTTCACCACGCGTCAGCTTAACAACGTGCATGTTTGCCCTTTTTCGTGTAACACCTTGCCTGTAATGGTTAGGATGAAGCCTGGTGTAAATCTGACCAGGGCTAACGTGCCATCTCTAAGAGATAACACCCTAGTTCCGGCTTGAGACGAGTGCCTAGAGGCTTTCGTCTTGACGGGATGGGGCAAGGCGTGCGTCAGACCGCCAGCCGCCACCTAACCCGTGATCTGACCGGTCTGTGACTGGTCACAGACCGGATAAAGGAACGCGCTGTACTGCGTTGCATGCAGCGTGACACGCTTGACCAGACTGCAATAAATGCTGTTAGGTGAGCACAGCTGTGCTCACTTATCCCATATATGTGGTGCAGACTTCCTTAAGGGGTCGGGGTGCCTCGGCCCTCGGGGCCGGGGCAAGCGCAACCCGACCCCCCCTCGGGGGAAATCAGGAGGAGGGCGGACACCTCACCCTCGGGCCCGACGTCCCCGAAGGTGCCAGGCCACGTGGGCGATTGCGTCTGCCTCAAGCCTCTGGTCATGATACTCCCGGTCCCATATCACCGACAGTAGCCCCCGGCGTTATGCCAGAGCAAATTTCCCTTCCCAAGGGAAGCGGTCAGGTGTGACGCCACCCCTAAAGCCTGGTGACAGGTGGGACCGGTCTCCGTAGTTGGGCAAAATACCCAACGGTCTCAATCCATGCACATTGGTATTGGTAACTTTGGTTGTCCATAATGGGCGGTCTATTCAAGACTGCCACACCACTTGAGCAGCGCGCGAATCTGGGTGAGCAGATTGGTCTCGCCCGGAGATACGGTAACGCCGCTTCGGTCGGCGAGCGTAATTAACGCGCGCACGATACAATCCATTTCGATTGCCACAACCGCATATCCACTTCATGCGCCGTAAGCGGGCGAATGGGATTAGTGGAAGCGTGGGCACGGGAAACGAGGGAGCGAGATAGCGAGATACGAGGGAGCGAGGTAGTGGGCGCGAGAAACGAGGAGCCAGGCCCAGCGATGGCAAGGGTATA